TTTTTGTTCATGTGTGCTACAGCATTTTCATTGGACAGACTCAACAAAAAAGTAGAAACTGTTTTTTCATATAGTGTACATACTTCTCTTTTCTCTCAAACAAAAAACAACAAAAAAGAAAACAACCGAAAACCACAGGACACTAGTCGAGAGACACTTTTGAACAACTTTTAATAAAACGGTTTCCATGTTTAAATACAAGAGCATTTATTCACAGATGACGTTTGTTAAATAGCTTCGAAATGTGCACAATTGTCTGTAACACAGACAACTTAGAGACAGTTCACAGTTATGATTCCATTTAGACTCACGTTATACAACTTTATAAATTTAGAGTAGCTTTGATGATATGAATCCTTCATATCAGTGATACAGAGTTACAGACTTCAAATGCACATCAGATCTGATTTTCTTACAGATGTACCAAAATGCAAAGTGACCAACCAGTTAACAACACATTACAACTATACAATATATACAATTATATAATATATAATTATTATATATATATATATATAATAAACATTCACAGCAGCCCTGTTACTACTGAATTATTTATTTCGAGATGGCATTGAAAAGATCTGAAGATGAAGTAAGAGTTGATTTGTTTCTATCTTTCATTAGTTTCACTGTAGTAAATCACAGATTCACAGGTCAGAACTTGTAGATTTAAAGTCAGTGCCGTCCTTTTAGAGCCACCTCCGGGCTCAACTCAAAAAGGACTTAAAACTTCACACGAAGCCGATCATTCTTTTGCTTCTCGCAACACACAAATGCAGCCTGTTCGTTACATGTAACTGTGATCATGCAATGGTCACTGAGTCATGCACATATTCATCAGGTCTGTCAAGTTAGACATGATAACAACGGCAAGTGCCCCTGGAATTTCTTGAGGCATTAAACTGTCAGCACCCGTCCATGTTCCCTCTTTGCAGCAGCACACAGCTGAGCAACTTTTGGAGCGCTGAAGGGAAACCAGACCGCCTTGAAACGGGTCTAAAAAGAAAAAGAGGGAAATATTTTCTTTAGCTATTTGGCTTGCATAAATGATTAGCAGATACTGTATAGAAACCACAACAACTCCTCTCAAAGGCATGAACCAGCTACTTACACATTTGGCGTGATGAGCAGGGTCTTTGTGTCTTTCAAATCCTCCACTGACTGATCCGCTTTCGTCCTGTGCTCCTCTGCAATCTGATCCCAGATCTCTGTGTTGACCCACAGGGCTCCAGGTAGGGTCAGGCTGGCTCGGGTGCAGGTAATCCAGCGGCACAGGGGGCAGGAGACGGTGTAAATGATGCCCTCCAGCTTGGACATTGTTTCCAGGCAAGGGGCGCAGAAGGTGTGGTTGCAGTGGAGGACCCTCGGGATCCGGTCGCTGCGCGAGTACTCGTTACAGCACACGACACACTCGAGCTCCTCATTTGGACACATGGTGATTCAGCAGAGTGGAGGAATCCTGATAATGTATCAGAAGCCTGCAATATAGCAACATGACAAAAATAGTTTAGAGAAATATGTAGGAAAAACTTTTTCCAGTAACTGCTCTGCAACAACATCATCAAACAGTACATTAGTATTATTAGCTACACCTAAGAGCCATGGTGAAATACTTACTAGGTTGCAGGACTGAGACTGCTTTGCTTCTCCAAGTGAAGTCTCTGCTGGGCTCACTGAGGTGTGCTGTCACCTTGCTAAGCTCCGCACTCTTAAAGCACACTTTACTGACGTAGTCACGTGGGGAGTTGCACCTTTCCAAGGAAGGCTTGCCTCAGGTGTTCTCTGGAATTCCATTCTGTGGTATGTGTGCAGTCAGTTAAGGAAGTTAAGAGTCCTCGTCTGTGTGTGCAGATTGATTAATTCAAAGGCGTCTTCGTTGGAAGTAAATAAAAGTTTACCTCTTGATTAAACGACAACTTGATCAGGGTGTGATTTGTCACAGAAGGAGACTGACACAAGGTTTTATTAAATGCCCTGCCAAGCAGGGTAATTTATTTGCATTTACTATGAAAACATACAATGTCACACAAGATTAACTGAAGCATGGAGATTTGGGCATTTGCTGTATAATCACAGAAACACACTCCCATCATCATCAGTTTGTCTTTTTTTTTTTTTTTTGAGATGGTGCCAAGAAAAGAAGAGCAATAGACAGGAGAATCTTCTGCTTTCAGACCATTTTTCTGTTGAAACATTAGATACACAGTGGAACCAACTTTACTAAATGCAATGCACAACAGTAAATTATCTGCAATTATGTGAGCCGGGGCCACTGCCTGTCCTCAGGTTTTACTGCACTGCCCTGCCTAGCAAACAACTTTTCCTTAGAACCATGGCAGACAAGCCGGCTGTTTCTATAAATAAAGAGAACAAAAAACACAAAAGAAAAAAAAATTATCAAAAAGAAAATGTATTACACAGAAACAAAATGTTGGTTCTCTTCATGTGTCTCCTTATTTGGACCCATATAGACTGGTGCTATACTGGTCAGCGAAGCCAATTTAAAAAAAGGTACTGGTCTCTGTTTACTTCTGTGCAGACTTTGCTTGGCTCATGAGTTGACTTGAGAGAACATCTGGACTCACATCAGACTGGATCAGAATCGGTTTCAAAGACTGATATATCTAATTTGTGTTTTTTTTTGTATTTCTATATAAAGAGAAAAACAGATATTAATACACCTATCAGTGCTCTGTTGTAGGCAGATTACTGGCGCATCATCATCAGCTGCGTGCACTGATGCAGAAAATAGACCCCACCAATGAGATAAAGCAGTACTGACAATTAAATGAGGCAGAATTTGTGCCACGTAGTTGTGTACTAATCTTCACTTTTGTGTGCACCTTAGTATTGCTGTTGTACATCGGCTTCCTGTTTGACACTGATTACCAAAGAGCTTCCAGATGTTACAGAGGTCATCAATCATGTCAGAAATGTTTGTTGATTTAAGAGCGCTTTCCTATGAGCTTCAACTTGTGCTCCATTTAATCTGGAAAAATATCTTTTCCCCTTTCTAGATGTTCATACACATGCCCCCGCACAGCACGTAGTGCCACCTGTGAAATTAGAAAACTAAACAGTTTTGTTGACCGGCAGTTGCAGATTATGAAACCTGAAGCTCTCTCATGGAAACATTGTAATATTATTGTTACTGCAGGAGAACAATGTTGCTTTCTCAGGAAAGTACATTTCTGATGTGACAGCTCCATTGTTATGATGCAACAAACTCTGACTTATCTGCAGCCCACAGTTCTACACTTTTCCACAACCCATGAGCCAAGTTTGCTCCTACGACTGATATAAATCACTGAAGCACTGAAGATTGGATCACAACCGTTTTAATAAACCCCTCCAATCCCCCAGCCCTACATCCACTCCCGTCCACCACCCCACCTCCTCCTCCTCCTTCTCCTCCTCTCAGTCCTTCCTGGGTGGGTGGTCTTTGAGTTTCTGTCTTCCAAAGTCCATGGTGGTGGTAGGTGTGGTGGTGGTCGTGGAGGGGTTTAACCCAGGACTGAACATCCCTCCCCCACGTAGTGTATTTGTAGAATGTGGAGTCCACTAGCTGGCTCACCGGGTGGGGGGGAGAGCGTTGCCCTACCACACCGGCTCCTCTCACTCCTGGGCTATGCTCCTCAGCACGTACTTGACCGTGTAGGCAAACGCCGCAAAGCCTACGATCACAAACAAATTGGCTAGAGCCCCTCCTAGAAGTCCATGGTTGCGATTGGCCTGCTGCAGGCCTGGAGCGGGGTTGGCTCGCCCCAGGGGGACAGGACCTCCGTTCAGGGCTGGGAGGCCATAGTGGGCGTGTTGAGGGTCGCCGTCAGGCACCACATCGGGTAAGGGGAGGGGCTGAGTACGGGCGCTTAATTCCTCCTGGGCCTTTTGCTTCTGCTTCATCTCCTGGTGGAGAAGAGAGATCAGAGGATATTAGGTCAAAAGAGAGTAGAAATTCCTGGCACAGCTTCGCCTCCTTCCAAGCACCATGGTCCCTGATGAAGGTCACAAGCCAAAATGTGTTGCTCGAAGTGCTACCACAGTTTTAATCTCTTCAAAATATCAGAGCAAAAATATGACAAAGGAGAGAAAAACACTGCAACTTAGTGATCTCCTCACACTTACGTCGACTACATCAGGAAACAGCTCGCAGAACACTTTGTCTTTGAGGTTGAAGGCCAGGCTTTGGGCTGACAGCTGTCTTTTCTGGGAAAAATAACAAAAAGCACATTAAATATCTGAGCCATCACATTCATGTCACTATTCTGCATCTGTGACATGTTTTTTTTAAACTCACTGTGTAGTCAGAAGTTTCAATGCTGCCAAGGGTCGGCCCTTTTTCCACCATGAAGCTGAGCAAACCTGTGAGGATCGTAGACACGGACCACGCAGGGTTCCATGTATCCGGATGGAAGTCTGTGATGGACAAACATAACCTGTGGGGATGCAGGGGACCAAGGTTTAAAAGCAATGCAAATAACTTTTATGCATATTAATTCTCAATTTGAATTAATTGGAGGAATAAGAAACCGTATTCTTACCTTGTGTTACACTTAAATCTCCCGTTTGGTGTTATCATATAGATACTTGGTGGTTTAAAAGGAAACTCCCGTGGAAATATGAGCTTTCCATGATAATATCCTCCTGAAAAACAGACATGACGTCAAATGGCACAGATAAAAAATTAGGCCGTGTGAATGAATGAGTGGGTTGAGTCAAATGGTGCACACTTGATGATGATCACGAGGTAGCAACTTGTCTAAACTTGCTCATTAACAGAAGCATGGGTGTTCTTTAACTGTCAGCAGGTTTTACCTTCATATGGAGTTTTCTCAGGACCTCTGACTACATAGTGCCTAAAGAAGACAAAACGGTTTCTGTTAGTGACTTTTTCCCAGATTTGAAAAAAAAAAGACATGACAAGGTCAAACTCTACTGTGTCACTTTTCATTGTTCACTGTTAAACGACTACAAAATATAAGAGTTTTCTGCTGTAGACACAAGTATGTATATCAATGTTGAAGACATGGAAAGCAACTGAACAAAGAAACGCACAAATTGACTCCACGGATGTGCATAAACGGCAATGGTAACCATTTTCAGTGGGGACTGAAGCATCATTAATTGTGTCAGCGCTTGGCTCATTTTAGCCAGTCTGCTTTTGTGATAAAGTTATAAACTGCACATGTGACTATAACTACAGGAATCATTGCTTTCTCTTTTGTTCATTTATTTTTTTTAAGTAATTCAATTTAAAAGAAGTGTAGAGTAGAAACATAAGGACTAGAATGAAGTTAGCAACCATGAGAGACAAATACACAGGTACAGCACAGAATTACTATCTAATGTTAAAAACAATAAGAAGAGAAAATATAACCTCATCAGCATTTGTTTCTTGTACGTAACAATCATATTCTATTCAAGATTACTCATCGTCGTCATGCTGGAGAAGGATGATTGCGCATTAGCTGTTCCCTAGAAGCCTAGATGGTTGCAACACTTTTGTCTACCCGTTTATAGGGAAGGTTCTACTTTCTTTTGAAAAGGCTAAATATGTTGACAATGCCAAAATAAGACGACACGGTCCACTACTGGTCCACACTAGCAATATTAACTAAGCAGACAGATAATCCCTCAGGCATGGCCGAGCCAGGTCCCATCCCTCCCTCGGCAGCTGTCAAGCCTTTTAGTATTTTAGTCTCAACATTAATTTGAGTATGTTTATATCCACACAGAAAGTAGTTTACTGCTTCCATTCTCTTAGTCAAACATAATGCACACAACTTATAATCTCTATTCAAAACACTTCATGTCTTGTATGGTTTATATTAATTTAGCATCAATATGATAAGGCTATAAGATAGAAGATATAAAAGTGCACTACCTCCATCCACAGTACAAAGACAAAATACCTCCATATGACTTCACAAGAATTCCAAAGAAATCACTATGGCTGTGTCCGAAATCACCCACTCACTCCCTACTCCCTAGTGCTCCCCATATAGTGCACTATATGGGGAGCACCTTGGCAAAGTAACATTTCGGACACTACTCGAGCTATTAATTACGTCGCTCGCTAGCCG